CTCTGCTGCGCCTGGGAGGTGTGCACGCTGGGATTTACCTGCCAGTAAATACAGAGGCTGGGTAAGTGTTAGATGGGTAGAAATGCAACCCTCCTCCAGCTTTGGATGCTAGGATTTTTGGGGGTTTAATCTGTTTACCATGACCATCAACATTAAGGATGGAGTTTCCAAATGTGTAATCCCAGATCAGCCACTTGTCCCTCTTCCATGGCCACAGGCTACCAAGTGAGTCTTGTACCAGGCCACACTGTGGGTCCTGTGGCAAGTGTGCCCTGGGCTGGCCATCCCACTTTTTTAAACTCTTTAGAACTCTTTAAAAGGATGCTTTTAATACATCCACCACATTTGCCTAATGGCCTCAGGAAAGTGAAAAGGAGAGCCTTTTGTTTGGTTGTCAAGCAGTGCTTGGTGGATGTTATGGGCTCCTGGGCTCCAGGCCCCTCTGCTCACATTTCTGTCTTATTTCTCTGAAAGCTTTAAGTCAGGGTAAGCTGCAGCTGCTCCTGTTTGCAAAAATTACTCCTCCTCCAGGTTCAAGTGTTTGCTCCCTGCAAGCCAAAATCCTTGTATCCTCCTGACAGCAGGACCCTGGGACACATTAGTCCCATGCAGGACAGGGCAGTGGGCTTTATTCTCCATTTCAGGGCAAGGCTGAAAACAAAGAATAGTGGGCAGCTGTGGTCTTAGCTGACAGCCTGAGAGGGGCTTTGCTAGCAGAAATCCCCAGGGGAAAAGAAAAGGAAGGCTGCTGACTAAAGTCAGCAAGAAATTCTCTCTCTCTCTCCAGATGAAAAAGCAAAGGAATTATAAGTAACATGCTGAAATACACAGATAAAGTTACCCAAGTTATTTTGGCCATAAAGCCTGGGATACTAAAAGCTCTTAATCTCCTGTTAATCAACACAAAGCTGGAAGAGGCCATACAATGAACTCAGCTGTCAAAGCTGCTGCGCCCTTTTGCTCCCTTTAATTTAATTGTATTAGTCCTGCCCACAGCCTTTGTTCTTCCACCCTGCTCAGGAAATTTGCTTCTGGTTTTGGCAGGGCTCACTCTGGTTCCACATGGCTGGTTTGTGGACAGCCAGGAGGGATGAGAGGGAGGGCAGGAAGGCGAAGAAGATGGGAAAAGGTCCTGTGGGAGCAATATGCTTCTTAATGGTGCTACTGCATCCCTTCCTGATGAAGCTTCCTCCTGATAAGCCAAACATGTACAATTGAATGAAGAAGGACTTTGGCTGATATCAGCAGAGATGAGAGTTCCTGCTTAAATCTTAAAATAAAAAAACAGAGAAGTGAGCCGAGTTTTGTTCAGCAGGAGCTACCAACCCAGTAAGCATTCCTACCCCTGCTCCCCTGCCCCTTGGCTCTGCTGAGGGGTCATGGTGTCTTACCTTTAGCTTAGTTGCTATGATTTGTGCCACTTGTTCCTCATTTTACCAGGAAGAAATAAGGGCAACAGCTTGACTCTGGGCCCTTTGCTCGCTTAACATGCAGAAAAGGATCCAGTGAGCACAGCAGAGTGCTGAATGCCAGCTGTTTTCTCGGCTGGTGTCAATAGCATCTCCATACCCCTTGCCAAAGCGCTGTTCCTCAGGGCTGCTGTGGAGTGCAGACCCTCCCTTACCCTCCTGCTGCTTGCTGGACTCCTCCAAGCCACCACTGCCTCCTTCCCACCCATATCTGCAAGGCTGCAGCTTCTCTCTCAACAACATCCAAGGCAGAGTTTTCCTCGTTGGCAGTGACATGAAACAGCTCTAGCTGAGCATCCAGCAGCATCATTGCAAGAGTACTGTCTTCTCAATCAGCTGGCTTTGTCTTTCCTGCTGCCAGAAATAATGTGTCAGCACATGTGCCCTGGTTTTAGCACCTGTGTCCCTTTACGTTGCAGTGTAAATATTTGCATGTCTTCCTATCACAGGAAAAAAAAATTGTGTGCAGCCCCTCACCTACCCAAACCCCAAAGTTATCCTCAGAGGGCTTCAGAGGTGACCACGTGTCAGGAAAGCAGCCCAGCAGTGCTCTGTAAAACACTTGCCTTTCACTGTGGAGGATATGCTCTACTGATGCCATACTGGAGGGGTGGCACAAGAGGTGTCATCATGTATAATTCATGGGTTGTAACGAAAACAGTAGGAAAAAAAGAAATTAGGATACATCAGAAAAAACACTTAATAACCTACTTTTCAATATGGCATTTTTATGACTCTTAGTTTCACTTCATCTTTCTTAAATGAGCAAACAAACAAATGTAAAAGGTGGTTTTCTGGACACGGGTGAGTTGTGTCAAGTTTTAGCATTTAACCCTGCTGAAGGATGAGATAATGGAGCAGCTAACTTGATGGAGTACCTTCACCACCTTTGCCTTTCCATCAAGGAAAGACAGTGCTTAATACATGGAAAAAGATAAAACAGTTGCAGAAAGTTGTACTTAAGAAGAGGGATTTTAGGAGGATATTGAATGCTTCAGGCTTGTCTGGAAAACACAGTTTTGAGCTCCACATTTTACTGGATTTCTCTGACCTCAGTGACCAGGGGTAAAAAATTCCACAAATCCATTAGATCAAGCTCGAGTTTTCCCAAATACATGAACTGTCAAAGTTCTCCTTTCCCTTTCACAGCAACAAATCATCATATTCTAGCAGTGAAATACTGCATCGTTTGCTTGCTAGTTTCACAGGGGGATCCTTCCCTCATTGCTTGCTGTAATTGTTCTTGGATAGCAAGAGTAAAACATATTTAAAATGCTATGAGGGATTCTGGACAACCCCAGGAAAAAACAGGACTAGAAAGGAAGTTTTTCTGTCCAGTGAAAGGTTTTGTGATGTGTTTTTTCAATATCACAATGAAAGCTTGAAATACAGAACCTCAAAAATAAAAACCCCAAAAAAACCCACAAACTAGAAAACCACCAAACATTTAGCCAGCTGCAGCTACTTATTTTGGTTATCTTATCCTTTTCATTTTGTTAGTAAATTTAATTTCTGTTCCAATAGAAAGTAGAAATTCTGTATTTCTTGGGTAAAAATCTGTGTCCACAAATTTGGTTTCAGTCATTTGGGAACTGTTTGGCAGATAATTTTAAATTAGAAAGTGGCAATCTGCTGCACTAAAAATAAAAAGTAATGATCCAGTAAATGACTAATTTTGTGGTCTGAGTTAATTAGTGGAACAGCTTGGAGGATGGAAGGCAGCAGGTCTAAATTACTCCACTAAGTCCATTTGCAGAAAGATACTATCTGACTTTGTTGTTATTAATAATAATAATTGAGAATCAAAATATTCAGCTGGGATTTTTGTCATTGCTATTAGTAGGAATGCATGTGTTTGTGTGTATATGTGTATATATACATGTATTTTCTCTTTGATGCTTTTCTTGCTTGTTTGCATTTCAATCCTTGACTGTCTTGCTCTGTGACTTAAATAACACTCCAGAAATTATTCAGACCGCACCTTTTTCTAGCACAGAGGAAACCTGAGGCATTTACAATTAGTGCTGCTGGTTATTCCATGAAAACCACACACCATGGACTGACAAGGAAATCAACAGTAAAAACTCAGGCAATAAGCAGTCCTTCATCAGCAGGCTCACAGGGAGCATCGGTTGGTGGCTCGTAGCTTGCTTTTACATCTTATTTGTGCAGCTGGGAATTGTGCAGCTGGGTTGTGGAGAATGCAGGGATGGCGCAGTCACTTTTGAGTCTGCATGGACCCACACATCCCAAAGCCTTCTCTGGTGAAATCTAGGCATTACTTTGCTGAAATCCGAGGTGCTTAAATTTTTATGCCTCCAAGGCACCTAGTCTTGTGCCCTCTATGATGCCAGCCTTCTCTATTTCTGCTGGGCTTGCCCACCCCAAACCTCCTTTCTGTGGTAGGTTTTAAGTACATGTTTTAGAAAACCCTTCAAATAACTCAATTCCTATGACAGGGGAGACTTTTAATGAGCTAGTTTAGTGGAGAATTGCTGTCATTGTTAAAACATACTTCTCCCTTTGTTTTCAGCTCGACTTCTCTAAGTTTCAGTCTTCCAGCCCTGGACTTTGCTCTACCTGTGTTTGCCAGAGTTAAAGCGCTTTAGAGTATGAAATCTTCTCATATACCCTTAAAGACTAAGAGACTAGGAGGAGTCATTTCCTAATCTTCTCTTTTAAGAGGGCAGCAATAATTGAGGAGTAATTACTGGCTCTATTGATTTTTTCATGTCTGTGTTTTTTTTAGATAAGTTGTAATTGTTTCTTTTTATCATTGTGCAGTTCTAGTTAATAATTGCTGTTCACTTTGTCTACATTCTAAGGATATGACCCCACTTCTGTTAAAGATCCAATGTTTGAGGCTCAGATGGGCAGTTGCTTGGGTATTGATTTTGTTTTGGGCACCTCCGGAGAAAAGTAAATGCATCAGTCGAAGCGCTGATTACCTTCTCAGAAGGTTTTGTAAATCATGTTTGTTATTTTTAATGGCTCCTTTCAAGTGGTAGTGTATCTCTGGTGGGTTTAGTTGTGGCTGTAGGCTGTATTCTACCATCCTTAATCATCTTAAGTACTTTCTTCGCTTTCCTTAACTTCATTTGATTTCACTGAGAAATTTCAAGAAGTGAGATGATACTTAGATGAATGAAACTGGTGATTAGATGGGGATTAGAAGGATTCTAATAAGCAGATGCTGTGCTGTCTGTGGGAGAGCATTCCCAATCCTAAACTTCATTAAACCAAGATGAGCTCTTTTCCCCTGATAATTACAGATTTAAAAGCATTGTATTATACTCTAATAATAATGAAAATTATAAACTATCTTGATCACAATAGCCATCTTCTGATGAAATTTCAAATTATGGTCATATCCAAACCCTCCATGAAGGGATATGAGTTCTTTAATAGCCTTACATACTGCAGTTGCAAGAGGATTACTCCTCATCCAAGTGCCCAAGATTTTGCAAGATGGAGTTATAAATGCCTTGTTTATGATATTTATCCTGTTTCCTGTATTTTTTCTGTTTGCAGCATTTTTGTTCCTATATATCTTGCACTGGTGGGAAGTCTCATCAATACCCTGATAGCAGTGGTTTGGATCCCTTTGCGCCCTAAACCGAAGTTAAACCAGCATGTGACAGAGAACAGTAAGTGTTTAGTGTTTCTGATAAAAAGTACATGGATAAGGACAGGGGATTGACATGCTGCAAGAACTGCTGAAGTACCTTAGAGTTGCATTTAAGGGCAAAAAGGTCCTGACCTTGAAACGCTGACACTTTAGTGCCTGAGCTGTGCTTATGGTATTGTTCCCTATGTGTCGATCACTCTGCCATGTAGAATTGCAGTCTTCCAGCCCAGTGCTTGATATACATCTCAGAAAAAGGTAAATGTGGACCCCTTGCTGGGGATTAGTTTGGTCTGGCATGGGAGGCAATCCCACTGTCTCACTGGGTTCCTCTGCATGCAGACCTGGCACCAGCTCCCAACCTCCTGCCACCAGCAGAAAGCTGGTGCAGCAGAGAAAAAAAGTGCCTTTTGGGAAAGGGGGTGGTGAACCTGAGCAGAGAGTCTCAGAGTTTCTTACTTTCTACCCTCAACCTGTATAAATAGAGTATTAATCAATATGTCATCTTCTGTAGGTACATCACAGTCCAGCAGCTTGTTTAGCATCAGAGAAATTCTACGTCTGATGAAGTTTCCAGGAGTAATGGAAGTTTTTATAGTCAAGGTCTTTGCTGGACTTCCCATAGGTAAATCTCACCCATTTCCTGCAATTGCTGATGTATTTAAAACAAGATGACATACGCTGTAGACCAGGCTTGTCTCAAGTTACTGAGAGCACATTGCATTTGATCACGGAGCAGTGAGGATTCAGGTCCTAACTTGATGTTGGATGCTTTCACATGGTCTCAGCTACAAAGGGTCAAACCCCTGGGACTTAATGTAAAACAGAGTACTTGTCATAGGCATCTGTGACATTTGGAAAATCACTTAACCTCTCTACTCCATCCCCCTGGCTGTAACTGTTTTTTTCTCTTGTCTGTCATTTCTATTTAGGCTGTAACCTCTTCGGAGCAGAAGGAAATCATTTGTCCTCTGCTGGAAATACTGAGGTCCTTCCTTCTTTTACTTAGGGATTTTAAGGTGTATGTGTATCCTAACCTTTTTCCCAAGAACTAAAAAACTGTTGGTGGATGAGAGGATCAGGCTGCACACAGGGGAGCCACAGTGTATTTCTTCCCTTGCACATGATGGTGGTGCTTGTTCTTCTCTTCCTTATATGTTCTGCTCAGTTTTTTGTGTCACGGTAGGAACCTGTTGATACCTCAAACCCTTCCCAAACCTGCCTGTTTCCCTGCTTCCTTTGAGTCAGTTGCTGTAGTGGCATGGTCCGTATCTCCCAATTTGACTGACTACATATCCTTGGCCACAATTTAATAATCTTCATTTTTGCCTACCCTCTAACTTCTTTCTACCCATACTTGATCAGAGACAAGTCAGCATGTCAGCCTTGTCAGTGGTGTGTAAGGACAAGGTGATGTTCTCTGCCCTTCCACACAGAAAGCCTGCATGGCTCCTTTCCCAGTCAAATACAAGAGTGCAGTTTCTCTTGATGATTTCAAGAATCGAATTTTGTGCACATCAAAACACATGTACATCATGCATCTGAACAAACTAGGACACTTCCCTTCCAAACAGGAATCTGAAGAGAGGACTTAAGGCACCTTAGCTTTTAGACTTTGCTTTTTTTTTCCCAATTCATTTTTGTCTGGAGAAGCTCGTAAAGTTTAAATAATAAGAAACATGATTTACAAATAAAATTCTAATTTGTAAACTGTAAATCCAGTTTACAAATGAAAGTAGATTTGGCTATGGAGTGTGGCTGAATCAGAAGGGGGTGGCATTTCTGGGCTTGGTCAGGCTCATCTGTTACTCCTTGCTATGTCAGTGGGGGAACAAGTCCAATCGGAGTTGTAGAATAATACACAGGGAAGTAAAGGATTTCTGATTTTGTTTTTCCCTGTTTGTGTGTAGTTGGCACTGGCTGAGATCAGTTATGTCAGTTGGTCCTACCCCTGCCACTGGAGACAGGATACAATCTGAATGTACTGCTGGCTTGCCCTAATAGTGCAATTTTTTTGGTTCTTACAAAGCTAAACTTTTAAAATTGTATTTTAAAAGGTGTATAAAATGACAGCATTTCGTAGAATGGGACGGATGTTTTAAGAGGGTTTTCTTTGCTGGTTCTGGCTCATTTCTCATCTTAAAGTAGCATTCATTTCTCTGTTTAAAAATGCCTGAGACCACATCCATATGGGATCTGCGTGGTAATTTCCTGTGTGCTCTCCTTTTTCCAAAGTCCACACAAGATACACTTGCTTTAGTCATTCCTGCTGAAATGCAAATTCCTGTCTGTTGGAGAATCCATTCTTCTTTCCCTGTGCAAAGCAAAATTGCTCACCCAACCAAAATAAACATCTCCTGCTGAAAACTGCAAGGCAATTTCTAGGCAAAGAGGATGGAGAGAGGGAAGCAGAGATTTAAGGCAGGCTAATAGTCTGTCACTGAATGGTTTGGACTATTTCCATAAGGATAGGAATGGGTTCACTTCAGGGACTCAAGCTACAAGGGTAATGCTTGCACTACACCGAGAAGTGATTAAAATCCTAGTGACCTCTCCTTGCAGGTCTTTCTTCACTTCAGGTGACTGCTGAATTGATGGCGGCTGAAAGGGGAATTGGCCATCACTTAATTCTCTGAATCTCACAGCTAGAGGCTGAGCTCCTCATGAGCTCATTTACCTTTCATCTCCAGGCTGCAACTGTATAATTAATTAATTGCCCAAATTACAGGCTGTTCTCTATTTACTTTGTAAACAAGTTTGTGATATACACCGAAGAAAATCTTTTGTTCCTTATGGATCTCATTGTTGTCTAAAATTAGCTTGTTTGAGACCGAAAGACCCTCCCCAGGAGGGCTGCAGGGCTGGGAACCTCCTCCCTGTGTTGCATAAAAGCAGAGACCTGGGCTCTGTGCCTCCTGCAGGAGGGCAGCTGCCAGGGATTTGACAGGCAGCAGACGGCTCCAACATAACCGAATTACCGTCTCAACTGACCTGGGAAAAGAGAACCTCATTTCATTATGGTAGATAAGAGACAGAAAGAAAAACAAGAGGATAAAAATCTCGAACATGCTTCTTACTGACCAGAAATCTCCAGGGCCTTGAAAATACTGATAAAATACCTGCTTGTATGAATCTTTGGCTGTCTGATGCCTTTGGAAAATCTGTTTTCAACACAATTGCTTTAGCACCTGCATCCCATTTTTAGAAGGATTTTCTTTCACGTGTGGAACAGGATTTTGCAGTGAGCCCTAGGGCTCTGCATCTCATCATGTTTTCAGTCCAGTGTAGGAGGGCTGACAGTCTCACAGAGGCTGTACTTGCCTACTCCATTTTGCTGTGAGGATTGCTAAGCTGGCCCTCCAAAGCCACAGGCTGCTTTTAGACATGTCACCTTTTTTCTTTTCTTTTCTTTTCTTTTCTCTTTTTTTTTTTTTTTTTTTAATATGGTTTGCACTCCTGTTTTTCCTTGGTGCTTTTCCTTTCGTTACTGCACCTCATAAACAATTTCCTTGCCTTCTGCTGCATATTCCTTGTTATTCATCCCACTGGTGCCAAGTTTTTTTCTAAGGAATTCACCCCTCGTTTAGACCCCCTCAAAAAAGGTGAGGTTTCTGAGGGTATTTTTTGCCATTTTCCTTTTTTTTTTTCATGTTGAGTCTTGCAGTGTGAATTACTCATGTGGCTGCACTCAGCTGACCTGTAGCCTACCCACATGGGAACCTGCTGAGATCTTTGCAAGAAATGCTTGTTCTGATGAGCATAAAATCTTTTTTAGTTCAATCTGGGGCTCCCCTTGTGGGTTTCACCAAGAAATGTGTTGCCAATTGAAAAGACCCCCTTAGCTGCTGAAAGAAGAGGGGCAAATGAGTCTCCCTTCTCCAGGTAGCTTTAGGAGACCATGCAGAAACAGATGCAAAAAAAGACCTTTGCATCTCCCTGCCATGTATAGTGCTAATTAAAGAGCACAGTCTATTCCCCTGCTCCAAAAGAAAGCAGCTTGTTTGGAGGAGAAAGATCCAAATCTGCCTTAACTTGATGAGGGACTTCAAAGGGGAGAGGAGCTGTAGAAGCTGGCATGCGATAGAGGAAGAAGAGCCAGGTATGTAGGAAGGACGAGCCCCTCCTAGGTACTACTTGCAGTGGGGTAGCAGGATGAAGGGCCCGCTTCAATCTGATCTTCCTACAAGTGAAACCAAGTGTGGTTTTTCTTTCATTTCTTCACGTGTGCCTTTTATAAACTTGTGCAACCCTGTTGCCTGATTTGGGTGTTGTGAGTAAATACTGCTATTTGCATGTTACCTTAAGCTGGCTTGAGCTGAGAGCGATTTCAAAGTAACTGGATAAGGATGGGGTGCTCTCCATGAAGGGGTATGGCGAAGCCATAGATCTTCATGAGCCTCAGCTCCCTGGCACCTTCTCCAAATATCTGTAGAGTAGCAAAGCAGGGCGCCCTTCGTGCCCCCCATCCCTCTCCCCCAGTGTCAGGGGGACAGCTGGAGTGCAGCTACTCCCCATTAAGGGGGGAAGACGTTTCTCTGGTGGGGTTCAGGAAGGCTTTGTGGCAAGTACTGGGTTGGGAGGGTGGTGCTGCCTTGAGACAAAGGCTTGTGGTGCTTGGAGGGAGGTCTTATTGCTGCAGGTGCTTCACTGGTAGTGATGCAGCTTGGCTGCTGGATGCTTGTTTGTTAAAGGAGTGAGTCCTCCACAACATTTTAACAAGCAATTTGGGATCGCTCTCTTCATCCTTCTGGGAAAAGCCTGCAAATCCTTCCCATGTTAGTGACTCAGTTTGCCAGGCCACCAGCTGTCTGCTCAATCCTCACACATTGCCTCCCAGACTCCTGTTTTTTCAGGAAGAAGAGGACCACAGCTCCCTTTTTACCCAGTCTTTGTAACTCAAAGAATCCTACAAGAAAAGGCAGGACCTCTAAGGGTCATCTACTCTCTTCTTCTGTCCCCAAAAGGATCAGTGGTCTCTGACAGGCATGTTGTGGGGTTGTTGATACACAGGGAGCCCCAATTTCCTACTGTCTTGGTCTGTCTGGGGTGCCCAAGACACTAGAGGAAGCAGCAGACTCCTACCCCACACCACGCTTGGAGCGCAGTGTTTTGTCATAATGCATTTAATTTGATGGCTGTTTGTGTAGGATGGGAGCGTGTGTAAGCACGTCTGTATTTGTGTGTGTTTGGCGGTGGGGGAAGCGCGCTGTCAGATTTTCATTTGAGATTGAGTGGGCATTTTCCGTTACCCTTTCAGAAACTGCCTCAACTGAAAAGCAGACTCAGCCTGAGCTGTTTCTGTCTGTGCTTTCCTGATTGCTTGTTTGGACACCACTGTTGGTCTCCATAAGACATTTTTCATGTGCCACCGACATCATTGCTGAGGCGTGCAGTGAAATCACTGCATCTTGGCTGATGTCACTGGATTGTTCCCCGTGGTAAAAATCTGAAGTCAGGTAAAAGGGGAGAGGAATCCAATCAGATTATTTTTATGGTTACAGTCTTGTCTGAACAAGAAAACAGATGTTTTTTTGCTGTCTTAATGGTTAGTCTGGCTTCGGTGATACAAATATTTACCAGTTTATAATAAACAGCTGAAACTGCAGCCTACATAGTCACATTATTTAAAGATGAAAGTAAGAGGGATAAAAAAGTTAATACTTAAAGATTAAATTGCTACAATGGCTTTGAATAGGATTCTGCTCATGTTTATATCCAGTGCTGGCAACCCCAGGGAGAGCTCCTGGCTCATACTGGCGGTGACTGAGAGCAGGATCTGGCCCACTATATGCAATACAAGTACATTGATGTATTCTTTACATTAACCCTTCTTCTAGGTTTGTTCATGATTATGTTTTCCATCATCTCTATGGATTTCTTTGGCTTGGAAGCAGTGGAGTCTGGATACCTGATGTCATATTTTGGTGTCCTTCAAATGGTAAGTGAAGTGCAAGTCCCCCTCTTAGACAGATTAGCCACACTGCTATCTAATTTTTGGCACATTCTCTTCCAAATCCAGGTGTGATGTTGACAGGCAAATCCTAGCTCTGCCATACAGTATTTGGCTTCAAAAATAGAAGTTACTCCAAATTTATTCTGTTCCTTGAAATGGGAAGAAATTGGAGGAAGGAGTATCCTGAAAGCTTTCTTTCCCTCGTCTCTCTTTGTGGATCTTTAAGACGTGGAGCTAAAATTTCCTCAGACTGATATATCCTGTTTTTTGTAAAAAAACTTACACTGAACCTGAAGTGCTTTGGCTGGGGTTTTTCCTGGTGCAGGTTAGCAGATTTGCATTTACGTAGTAGCACCCTGTACATTTATGCAAGTAGATGATCTTACTGGTGTTTTCATAGATCCCTTTAGTGTAGAGGAAGAACTTGTTTCTGCTGCATGGAAACAAGCACAGCAAGCTTATAATTTCAAAAAAAGAAAAAAAAAGGGAAAAAGAAAAAAAAAGAAAGAAAAAAGGAAGAAAAAAAAAAAAAAAAAGGGGGGGGGGGGGGAAGAAAGCAAGCAAGCAAAAAAGGTGGGCAATGGAACATGATTAAGACACTAACAAAATGGGTAAAAGGGAAAAGTCAGCTGAATTAGGCAATAGCAAGGCTGAAAAAATATGGTGTTTGTTATAGCAGAGTGTTCCTTCTGGAGGAAGAGGCTAATAATTTTGCAGAAAGAGCAGCAGATGATTATAAGCAAGCCTCAAGGTAGGAATGCAAGTTAAGCAATACCCTAAAGGAGGGTGGTCTTGTTATTAAACCCGCCTTCATTTCCTGGGCATTGCCACAGAGTTCCTGTGGGATCTGGAGGAGCTTCTCATCTGGGAAATGACAGCTTTAGTTCCTTCCCTTGTGATTTGGATTTGGCATGGTGTTGCCAGTCACCTGGGCTCTGCTGTGATCTCACCGAGTCTGGGTATCTCGGTAGAGCAGTGGATGAACATGGCTGTACATCAGCAAGTGGATTCAGCAGAGCAAACTGGCTGGAGCTGAAGAGGTGGTGCCTTGGTCATGTCAGTTCTGTGGGGATGACTTTGGACTAGCTGTCTCTTGGTCCCGTGAGCTCAACATCTCCCACCAGCTGGATGCGTTCTCCCTTTTGGTCTTATTGTAAAGAAGACCAGTTTGCTGGTCTGCAGCACGAAAAGTGGGGTGATCAGCAGCTGCTTTCCGAAGCAAGCTTCTGACCCAAACTCCACTGCTTACAGAGGCTTTCCCTACATTAGTTTTTGTATACTGCCTCCTAGACCAGGATCTGCAGGAATCACTCAAGTTTTAGAGGGACCAATCTTCTTCCCCATTTGAATGTAAAGGGACTCCCCACAATTGTGCTTTTCACTTAGACATATGAGTTAAATCCCTGTTACATGTGTCTACAGTGAAATATAATTCTGGGTTGCAGCATGGCTGTGGTGTGCTTGTTTCGAGTTGGGTAATGTGGGCGGCAGAAGTACTTTTACAGGAGTGGCTTAGTGTTGCTAGATGGAGCTTGGATGCCGCTGTTAGGTCCGGGATATCTGTCTTCAGGACACTGCTGTTATGTCTGGAATATCTATCTGTCTTCACTGCTATTGTTTCCCAGGTTAGTTTGGTTGAAACTACTGTAGATAAAGTTACCTCCACTGCCGTGCTGGTGCACCCCACATAGAGACACAGCCCTGGAAGATACAGGAATTACAGCATCCACTCCGCTTCCTAATGGATAATCAGATGGCAGTGCTAACCAGGGGCCTGACCCTTCCCATAGTCATAGAGTTTCATCCCTCAGAGGCCAATCAAGCCTATTGCCACAATCTAGATCTAACCCAGCAGTGGCCTGCAGGCTCAGGTGCAGTATCTACTTTGCTGGAGAGTCTCTGCCTTGGGACATTTGACACAGAAACTGGCCTTTATCAAGCAGTTTGCTTTCATCTATCCATGCAGTTTCTATCCATGTTGCTATTCGTATAAGGCATGACACTGAACATGAGAAATATAGAAGTGAAGTGATCCTAGGGTACAGACTTCTCTTTTTCATGTTCATGCATTGAAGGTTTGCTGTAACAATACCAAAAATTAAAGGGGATAATGTGATACTTTTTTTTAAAAGGCCAGGACACCTGATTCTTGGAGGCAGCAAAGCCATCTCACCTGACAGGTTGCAAAGCACTGCTTTCTGCTTTGTCATTTCTTCTTTCCACTTTATCACTGGCAGTTTCAAACTCTGCTCTGGTTTAAGCATGACAAGATCCTCGACTGGACCAAATTAGAGTCTCACTATCTGGCTTTTAAATTACTGTAAAACATTAGATTTTGTGTCTTTACTTCCAGGTATCTGGCTAGAACTGCCCAAGGACATCTCTTGCAGATAGTGACTTGGTTAATGTTTTATGGCTGCTTTCTGTTGGGGTTTCTCCAGTGGAAGGTACATACAGGGTGTAGAATGTGTGTGAACTCTGTCCTGCTGAGCCCCAGAGCTTCTTGTGTGCCTTCCTGTTGCCTAAGCTGGCATTTCAGATGCATTTGTTTCTGCTGTAACAGTGAATTGATACTGCTGAGATATAAATGCAGATTAAGGTGCAAGTAAATTCTACCAGTCTGCATAGGTGAACGATGATTAGTATCTGCTGACTGGCTTCCCCACTTCACTGAGTAAATTATAGCTTTATTCATAAGGAATATAATGTAATTTTCAATTAATTTCATCAACCAAATCCTCAGTTTTGATTTCTCATTCCTTAGTTTGCCTGTCTGTAAAACATACTGAGGATTTTTCCATCCTCCTGGACTTGCTCTGAGCCCCCCTGTTAGAGGAAACGTGTCCCCCACATTTGCATCTCTCTCTGGACTTGAAAATGGATAGGACTTTCATAGATAGAAGGAGGTGTCACAGAAATGAAGGGGAAAATAAGTATCCATCCGTGTCCTGTTTATTTTAAATCTCCTTGCAGGCACTGAACACAGTGCCTGGGCAGCTGCACAGCACAGGCAGCTGATGCAACCAGCATCGTGTCCCAGGGTCTCATCTGCACCCAGCACATATTGTGTGCACCAAGTGGCTTCAGAGATGCACAGGGAACAGCACAGCAAGCAAATCTTCTCTGAGCCCTTTAGTCAGCTCTTCCCTGGAAGTCATACACTGACAAAAGCATTGTCCGGTCTGCCAAATCCTGGCAATTTTTATAGTATTATTTCTTTGTGTTATTGTAGTTGCTGGTTTTTAAATTAGATATTCTCAAAACTAACATATTCCCCTTGGACAGAGGTGATCTTGCAGCTCCCTTTCCCAGCCTGATCAGCAATCCTGGGATGACTCAAATAGCAATGGTGTCTGCCTGCTTTCTTCTCCCACCCCAAGGATATTATGCTCCAATTGCTTAATCCAGTTTTTCAGTTTCTCAGCCTCATTTAACCTGCTGTGGTAAGAAGTGGCCAATGCACTGTAAGCATCTGTCTCTCCTCATTCCTCCCATGCAAGCCAGCGGCAGAGTACCTAGAGAGGAGATTTGGAGTGGCTTTGGGTCAGTCCACCTAATTTTAAGTAGGCAACTCAAGTTCTTTGTCATCAGTATCTCAAACAGCTCTTTGCATGGGGAGATCAGCACAGAAACATGAGCCCTGCAGGAGGTGAGGTGTTTGCCCCTTTGCAGGCAGAGGATGTTAGTTAGCCCCACTGCTCAGTCATCATCACCTGAGGGATCCCATTTGGAGCTCCTCAGCCTCACCTCATCATGCTTGGTCCCATCTTGTTGCTTTATGTCCATGTAGGGCCCCAGAATCTGGGGAAGGGGGTGTCCCTGAGAGAATCCCTGCAGGTTTAGAGGGCAGATTTGGGGCTGGTTTGAAGCCCAGGAGCTTTGTGTGTTTTGGCCGGCCACTCCCCGGAGCAACTCTCTTGGTGCCTCCCTCTCTGAGCATCAGTTCTGTCCACATGGGAACGGATCATGGCACCTGCTAGCAGCTCCAGCTGGCACTGGTGATGGGTTTTGTCCCCACCACACCATGCATGTAACACCAATGACCACTGCTCATGGCACAGGCCGTTCTCAGCACCCTTTTTCCTTCACCAGTTTGGCTGCCCACAGCATGGCCACCCTTCACCCTGGCACTGGGGTACATCTCCTTGCTGCAGCTTGTCCCCCTGCATCAAGGGACATGGGTTGCCCTGCTGCTGCTCCCAGCCAGCCTTGCAGACACTTGATTTGCCCAAAATAATACATCTGCTGATACATGTTATAAACATTCCCATCAAATTTCATAGGGACTGTCCACAGGGAATGGGGGCTTTCTGTCTCTCTGGATGAAACTGGTGCCAATTTGTTTTTTGTGGTTAGGCAAAGAGCATCATCTAATAGCAGAGGATATGGGAAAGTATGGGGCAGGCTTAGGCACAGTGAAGGTAGGAAGGCAGGAAGGGGGCTAACTTCTGGGTCAGGACAGAGCCAGACAAGGTGTGTGGAAAGGTGGTGCCACAGCATTGAGACAAAGAACTGCCTGATCAGGAAACAAAGTTATTGCTTAGAAGATGGAATATGACTGAGGCTGGAGTGGACTGATGGGGAAATCAAAATAGCGAGTGGGGGTGATAATTCAAGCCATCCAGGTCTCAGCAGGGATGCTTGAAGCACCCTGATAGCGTGGGGCTGTCTGATGAACTGGGACTGTGCCAGGGTAAGTCGTGTGGGAGATAACGAAATGAGGAGGGGAAGGCTGACAGCAGGAGAGGTACCTCTGTGCCAGGCAGCTTGCACTGGTAGAGGTTCCCTTGCTCATGATATATTTGAAGCATCTTTATCTGATCACTTGTAGGTCTTCAGGCAAGCCGGATGAGAGCCTGTGAGGGACACAATCCTTCTGTCCTCTAGGCTGGGCTTACAGAGTCCTCTCATCTCAGAAGCCATGTGAGTCAAATTTCCCTCATAGTGAATGCCTGGGAGTTTGAAATGCCATTCAATCTCCCTCCAGATAATAATTAATTTCATAATGGTTTAAAATACTTTAATTTTGCTTACTGAGCAGAAATGGACTTAGGCTCTAGGTTTTTTGGGGTTTTTTTGGAGGTGCAAGCACAATAGCATGGAGAACTTCTAGGTATAGTATGTGACTTGGAAAGTACTGCTGGAGGATTAGGCAAGTGAAATACCTCAAGTCCCTGGCTGATATCTGAAGTCACATCTGTTGCTTAGATTTCAAACCACGGGAGAGGGTGGGGGAAGATTTCCTTTAAGAACTTTTTCTCAAAAAAAAAACCCAAAGCAAAATGCACCAAACAAAACTCTGGGTGGGACAAAGGGGTAGATATTTATAACCCTGAGGATCAAGAAATCATAAGACATCTGTTCTATTTACTGCATTTAAATTTGTATTGTTAGACAAACCCCACCTCTAGCCTTGCAGCTTCTGGAGGGACAAGTTGGTACGGAGTGATCCTGAAAAGATGAGAGAGATTCCTGGAGGAGAGATTTACATTGCGTATCGTCTTATCACCAGTCTGTCCCTCTCACTTTTTTTTTTCCCTGCACAGCAAAAGAGATGATTAAAGAGCCGAGGATTTAATTACAGCCAGGTATGCCTAGGGGGAAAACCCACTTGGTGAAAGGACCTTGCAACAACAAACAGAAAGTTCTCCAGTTTCCTCGCTTTGAAGGATTTATATCTGTGGAGGGGGGCGGGCTGGAGGGGGAAAGAAAGCAATTAGGCTGGAGTTAGCAAAACACACCGTCCTCTTTCCCCCCAGTTTGGCAAAGTGCTGCCTTCAGCAGTTTGGTCCTCACCGTCAGCCCTCCTTTCAGTCCCACCGCCCTCCTGCTCCTCTATGAGACCTGAACTACTTCTCAAATGATTTCTGGCATCACCGTGTCAGTAAAACAACTCCCTTTTGCCCCGCCCAGGGCTTTGTACCACCTTTAGCCTGTGCAGAAAAGCCTTGTGATTTGTTTGACCCCTGTGGTCTGCCCCAGCTGGTGCCCACCCGCGCGTCCCACCCCACCAGCACTGCGCTCGCCCTGGGAACTGCCAGCTGGGCACAATTTCAAAGGGGAGAGATACAGGTCCAGGGCGTGGGAGGCTGCTTCTGATGTGAATCATGCTATCTGCACTAGGGATGGGGCCCTGCATCTTCTCTACTAGGCTGTACCAGCTTATCTGGCCTGCTGCACCTGCCTTTCCGACCTTCTCGTATCTTTTCATTTCCAGGCTGTTGGGTGAGAGGGAACTTTTTTTTGTTGCTGGGCTTTGTCAAGCTTTCAGTTGATGCTGGTGAAAGATTCTTTAGAAATAGTCCCATGTTCTTCTGAGCATGGAGGACCATCTGAGCATCTGCATAACTCCTCTAACCTCCACTGGTGAGGTTAGCAGGTGCCAGTCTGTTCAGCAGCCGCTCCATGCAGCAAGGTTAGTGCTTCAAAAGCCTTCCAAAAACTAGCACCTTAAACCTTCAAACAGAAACAGTCTTTTCCATCCTGAAAGGCATTGCTGAAATTTGTTAGAGGTTAACAATAAAATGGGTAATTGGCTCTTCTGAGCAAATGGAAGCTGCTGCCTTCCCAGAACACAGATACAGCAATAGAAGCAGGGAGTATTTTTCTATGTGATTTGCTGAATTAGTGCAACAAATCCCCAGTTTGGTGAATCCAGCTTAATGCCAAGGAGAGATTTGGCTATTCTTATGCATTTACTGGGAGACTTTTATTTGCCTTTAAAGAAGGAGAGGGGGGAGGAAAAAAAGACGAGTTGGTTTTTCCTGTGACATGTGTACACAGCCACAGGCAGTGCCTGTTATTTCACTTGCAAACAATTTCCTCTCTCTTTTGTTTATTGATGACAGAAGGCATTCCAGCCAGGTACACTGGCTCTTCCCCAACTTCAAAGGAGGTCAGGTTACAAAGGCAAGCACCATCCAGCACCATGAAATGCGGGAGGGGAAGGCCCATCTCAGTTGATCTCAGGGGAGTTTATGTGCAAGGGAAAAGCCCAGAACACACCAGCAGCAATAAAAACAAGGATAAATCCCATTGCTGCTTTGTCAGCCACCAGAGCTTATTCATGGGAGCAGTTATGGCTAAGCCATCTGCGATGTCCCTGCTACCTCGTGGTAATGGAAACACATGTCCAAAATCTTACATGGGAGAGTGCACACGAACCACCTTTCACTTTCACCTTCCCAGATGTGCCTGCACAGGCAGCTGCTGCTCATGCCAATCCAAGAGCTCTGTGGACAGGGAATATTGCAGGCTGGAAGTAATGGGTTTTCAGGTCTAAAATTCAGACTGGAAAGTGACGTCAGAGCTCGTGGTGACTGGAAATATTATCCAGCTCTTAAATCAAGGCTCTGTGTCCAAAATCAAGATGATGGGACTTGCCTGCTTGAGCTAATGGATGGATCAGCAGCAACCATGCTGGGGAGAGAGGCAGGGAGTCCAGATAACCCCTGGGAGAGGCTGCAGTCTTTGTAACCCAGGGATTGCTGCCCAACCCCAAAGGTAAAGCAGGTGACTTGGGCTCATGCTTGCCCCTGGAAATAGTCCCATTGCCAAGTTGGTTGATTCAGCAGTGATGTTTTACCTTGTGCTTATATTGCCACAGCCCAAGTGATGGGAAAGCCCATGTGGAATGCCAGCATTGGCACAAGGACCACCCCTCTGCTCTGCTCACTCTGGGCACAGCACGGGGTCTGCACATCCCCAGGTCCTCCTGCTCAGTGCTGGGCTTTGCTGCAGTGGTGCTTGTTGCCTGTGCTTAGGTGCTCATATGTAACGATGGAGACATTTTTGGGTACACCACTCCCAAGGCCATCAGGCAGGGCTGCTCTGGGAAGTTGCTGATGATGTACCCCAGTGACTCAGGGAAGGGCAGGGACGAGGCTGTGCCTGTACAGTGTATCCCAGTTAAATATGCCATTCAAGCCTGGGCAAATTAAGAAACGTGTCCTTTCCTCCGGTGGTTCAGTTGAGCCAAACTGGGGTTTGGGTGATGCCACTGCTGAGTCAACCCATGCCCTGCGACGAGGCTCAGCCCCCATCCCATGTGACTCAGCACAGCCCCAGCTGGGGCGAGCCTGTAGGAGGGACTGGGAAGTTGCAAAAAGTTAATGACGATTTTTGGAGCACTCAGCTTAATGAAGCGTTACTCAGTGGCTTCCCCACCCACCCCCCGAGTAGGAGCTGCGGGGTGCCGGTATCAGCCTCCTCTCATGGCCACAGCAGGGCTTTCAGTCAGGATGACTCAGGTCACCCCATGCATTGTCCAAGCATTGCGCCACAGCAGCTCAGCCGCTGTCCCAGAAGCTGCTGGGCAGGGAAACTCACATGGGACCTGTGCCACTGTCACACGGTGTCTGGGCACACGTGAGCCGAGCTCTCAAGCCCTGGCAAAAGGCAGGGACAAGGGCAAAGAGCAGGCAGGAAAAACACTTCCTGGGAGCCAAAATGTCAGCTTGTCAAAAATCCTTTATGCTCTGAATCAAAGTGAAGAGTTAAATTTTTATAGTTTTCCATGAAGTTGTAGCTTGTTGGAAGTATATTCATTTTGTAGCTATTGTGCTATATGTCAACTTTATTTTCACTCTTACTACTATTTGCTTTTTAGTTTGGTTTTGTTTGTTTGTTTGTTTTAGTAATTAAATTGATTTTTCTGGACAGCTCATTGTAGATTGACATTTCCTTTATTTTTATTAACTTACTTTCTCATTTAATTTGCATTCATTTCCTTCCATCTGAATTTGAGTTTCAGCCTTAGGACTAATACAGCAAGGTTGAGCGTGGCATAGAGTCATTCCTGGTCCAAGCAGGCCACGGAAGTTTTCTTCAGGATGGACTGCCATAGAATCAAATCCATCCCACCAAACAGAGCATTTTGAACTAGAGCTCTTCTTTCAAGTCAGTGGGGTTTTCATTTGGATCATACAAACCCTTTCAAGGCAGGGAAAACTCAGTAGATTCCTATCTGTCCCTCCCCTGACTTGCAGTCAATCAAGGGTTATTTTCACTGTGATCTCTTCCAGCCTCTGTCCTCTCTTGTCCGCTTGGGCCAGCATCACCTGAAGTATGGGAGATGTTGAAATAAAAGAGGGAATTCATTCTGGAAAGTGCTGGAAAAGTCAAACAGTTCCTGGGATTTAAATTTTTTGCTCCTCCTTCCCTCCCCCTCTCCCCCAGTTTTTATTTAAAATCTGTAAAACCAGTTTCCCACCCCTTACATCTGCATGTACTGCTGGGACTGGGTATTAGCATCTCTGCCATACTTGTTTCATGCCTAAAAATTATGAATCACCCGATTTGTATATTTATAGTTTAAAATAATGGCAAGAGAAGGTACAGGCCTTTTCCTTCTCTGCATACAAAGGTACAGTTTTTCTTTGGAAGGACTCGCCAAGAACGAAGACCTTAGTATTAACTGTATTTCACAACATCACAAGTTAGAAAAAACCAATTTGTGTCTGCAAGAGTTTTTAGAAAGTTTTGGTCACTGCTGGTGACGAGGCAGTGATGGTAAACCAAGGTATGCACCCTGAGTAAAGACTTCCAGCTGATGGGATGGCTCTCTCCCTAGGATGCAAAATGCTTGAAATAATGGAGCATGTCTTCCAGTTGTTTACTGTGGCAATGAGGTCTTTTTTTCAAAAAACCCCAGTGGAATAACCCATTTGCTGCCTTTCATTTGCTTGCAGTGCCATAGCAGTTCTCGTTTGTTTAAATGATTATATATCAGGCTTAATGGTGCTCATGTGTTTCTTTCCCAGGTTGTCCAGGGTTTGGTTGTTGGAAAACTCGCTAACCACTGCACAGAGATGACACTGCTCAGACTCAGCGTCTTCGTCTTTGCCGGCGTGGGCCTGGGCATGGTAAGGCGGGTGTGGGATCATCCACAATGCCCTTCATAACGCAGCGACACAAGGTCCATGAGACCTTGAAATGCCACCCCTGGCTTTGTTGGGTGGTCCTCAGGGCAGGGGGAAACCATCTCTCCTGGGCCTCCGCGCAAACAGAGCAGCGCTCGACGTAAGCATTGCGCCAAACCATGATAAAGAGCCGCGTGAGTAATAGTTACGGGGATTAAAAAAAATATTAATCTCGCACAGAAACTCGCTAAGTCCCTCCTGAGTCACCGGATTTGCACAGAAATCCTGCCCCGGTCTTGTCAGCAACTGGTTTTCCTGAACTACCCAGAAAGTAAATGAAGATTATGAGGAGGGGAAATAAATCACTGCAGTTGTACGCTGCTGTGAGACAGTGCAGGTTGTGCCCTCTTCTTCTGGGCCTTTATTTTTTACCTAATCTCCCAAGGTGAGACGATTTGGGGAAGGAGGTAGCAAGGCAATAATGCTGTTCCTCCATTTTGGGATAAGTGGCGTTACCTGTTGCTGGTTGTGTCTGCTTGGGTGACGGTTGATGCCAATCTCAAAGGGTAATTGGAAAACTGATTTCATGTAGGCAGCTCTGCTGGCAGCTGTGTTTGCTCAGATAAGCCACGTTCAGGGAATTGATAGCTCTGCCCAGGCCACAGGGATGGAGGAAGGGTGTGCACGGTCTCCTCTGTGTCCCATCCAAGGACAGTTGTTGAGCTGCATCAGCCTTTCAATATTCCCTGCAGGATTTGGCCTCGAGCCTTGCTGCTGGGGCCCTGGGGCTCCCACTGGTGCAGGTAGGATGAGTGCCATTCCCACAGCCATACCACAGCCACAGGGAGGTCAGGGCCAAGTCCTGGAGGGGATTGAGGTTTGTGGTTCCCAGCTACATGGATAAGATGAAGCACCTACACATCTTAGCTAATCTGAGGCTAAATCATGTGTCTGAGATGAGGCTGGAAAGGGATGATGGATGCAGATGAAGGGTTGGCTCTGCAGATGGAGTGTGGTCCCCCACTCTGGGATTTTGGGGCTCACAGAGATTCTGTTAGGTATAGAATGCTTGGAAAGGGTCCCTTCTGATTGGTGTCACAGTTTTAGCTGGCATTGCCATGCCCTCTTAATATGGGACATCTGCACAGTGCTTGGTCCTCCAAAGCATGGCCTGGGAAGGACTTTGGAGGTCTTACTAGTATCTTTTGGTCATGGCTGGGAGCAATTAGGTGGGGCCAAGGTGGACCTGGCCCATCTGGAGACCTTAGCACACCCAGCTGGCTGCAGGGCAGAGTGCTGCTGGGATTGTATCCCTGAGTTGAAACCCCTCCCATGGGAATCAGGCAGAGGAGCAATATGGAGTGAATAGCTTTTGTGCACTGAGGTCTCACGGACCTCTGGGGAAGGCTGGTGCCAGGTGGAGGTTGGAGATAAAGCCTCAGTGGCAGTGGAGGGGCACACAGAGGGACACGGATGTCCCAGTGTGGGGAGGCTCACATTGATTGCCCAGGGAGGGGAACTGGGAGCCAGGAAGGGAAATCATCTTAGAGCTGGTAATTATGCCAAGCCCGGAGGGCTACGGACATCCTGACAGCACAGTCCTGGGGATAAGGGTCAGCAGTGACTTCCCACGAGAACTATTCATAGGCAAATGCAGCTGTGATCCTCTTTGCCCAGGACGCCTTCTTAAAAAGCTCTCTGTCCGAGCGGCTGCCAAGAAAACATCCGTTTCTGGGGTGGCTTTCTGTCTGGGTGGGGATCAGTGCCGGCACAGCAGCAAGCACAAATGTGGAACTTAATGGGTGTAGCTTTAATCCTGCACAGCTGCTGGTGGAGGAGCATCCCACCTGCTGTGCCCCTGCTGCATGTGGCCTCCAAATGCAGCAGTTCCCCTCTCCAAAGGATGACAGTGAGGAAAAAGACTAGCTGTTAGTAAAAGACATTCCAGAACCCATCTTTATATCCCTGGGAGGTGAGCTGAAGCGTTTTTGGGAGGCTAGCACAAGCAGCAGCAGACAGACAGCACTGCATCTGGGAAGAGGCTGCAGGATGTTCCCAGCACTAGGCAGCTGGAGAAGAAAAAGGGTGGGCTGGGAGCTCGGCAATAACACCTGGAAAAGGAGAGGAGGGGAGAACTAGTGTCTGATCTGCAGATGCGAGCCAGGAGAGCGTGGGCAGGGCTGTAGGAGGGCTTGGCGGTTGCGACGGGGAAGTTTTTCTCTTTGTCTGAAGGCACGGCTGTGCCTCATCCTGCCTCGCTGCCTGCATTTCCCAGGCATTTGCTTTCTGAGTCTGTCTCCTGAAACTCCTGGTTCTGCCTCCCTCACCAGAAAAACGCCTTCAGATCTGCTCAGGTCAAAAAATCTGCTACCTACCCAGCAGCTGAGGAATAGCAAAGACAGGACTCTGCCTGGCTCAGTTCTTCCGGAGCCCCAGGGAAGTAAGGAGCCATTTCTCCTGGTTTTACAGGAGACACAGATGTGGCTCTGCTCTTTTCTGCACACTTACTCCAGCTCATGAGGGAATTTGTACAAAGAAGGAGGGATTAAACCTGGTTTTTCCTATGAGCCCCATAGTGTTGTCCCACAATGATGCTTACCCTAGCAAGGAATTACTCTCCTTCCTTCTGTTTATGTACCAAATACTTGTTTCTCTGTCTTTGTTCTCTGGTTCCTTAATCAGAAGTGCCTAGATCTTAACCAAAATGTAGGCAAAAAGCTCCTTCGAGGAGAAAAACCTGGCTGTGTGTGACTCTAGAGAGGAACTAAGAATAAACCTCAACATTTCCAAGTCATTAGTGAGCAATGTCTCTGGGCTTTTCCATCTTCTGTAGCCAAAAGGCAAGGACAAGATCTTGGGGCAGAGAACTCCAGAGAATGAAACTTCTGGCTAAACCAGTGACAGAAATGTTTTCCAGCCACAATAACACACCTTGAGACACGGGTGAGGGCAAGAGACTTGCAATAAAGGGGGAATTTCCTTTCCATGCCCCAGAGAAATCCATTCATTTGACCAGCAGGGCATGTGAATGAGCTGAGAGCCGCTCTAGCCCCACGGCTTAGGGAGCCTCACTGCTTTTGTTTCAGCATTAAACAGCTGGAGGGATGTCTCCGTTAAGAATATGTGCAATAACAAAATCATTACTCTCCTTAATTATGCTCACTAATGTGCATTTATGGCCAGAAGACCTATTCCAGATTACTGAATTCGGTGAATTTATTAGCGAGGAGGCAGCAGAACAGGATTAGAAATCCCAAAGGTACAGTGTTACATAATGCACCGTGCTCATTTATTTTGACAAGCTCAGTTTAGTTTTAATTATTTATGATAATGAACCAAAAAGCCTTCTCTAGGCTCTTTTGTATAAGTAATGGAAGCTTCCTGAAGTACACCACATACATCTGCTGTTCAACATTTCCTCGGGAGTTGGACAGAAGACAGAAGACAGGGGGAAGGGTGCAGGGACGTCACTAATTCCCAGATGCTAAAAATACCCACAGCAGTGCCGGAGAAACGTGCTGCCAGATTGTAGGGTATCACTTGCTACTTGCTCCACATGCTTGGAATAATTCACTGAATACAAATGGCAGGCTGTGAAAGACCCTGCAACAGCCAAAGCCGCACCATCCTGTATCATTTGTGGCTCCCACAGTTCCCCTAAGTCATGGGTTTGACTCGTGATTTATTTTTCCAGGGTTGTTTCTTGCCGCAGAGTCACCGTCTGTACTCTCTAATGATCTGTGGTCTGTTCTGTCCTGTCCCTTAGGCCCTGATGAGGACTGTGTGGCACTACTGCATCATTGCAGTGCCACTGGTGTTTGCCTTCAGCATGCTGGCCACCATCACCGACAGCATCCTCACCAAGGCTGTCCCCTCCTCTGACACTGGTAAGACTCATCAAAAAAGATCAGACTGGTATTTTCTGAGATCTGAGTCCATCACGTGCTTCCCAGCTCACACCACCGCTATCAAGCACTGTAATACACTCATGGGGAATGCCCAATTCTCCAGTAGATCTGGCTGGGCAGTTGCATACAATGGGTGTCAGCAGAGCAGATGAACAGGGACTGGTTGGGCTATATGGAATGAACCTGAACAACACTGAGTAAGCATCCCATGACCCAGTGCTCTCCAGTCCTTTACCATCTGCTGACATCCATAGTGGTGGGCGCAGAAAGCTAAGGCTCTCCCGAACTTTCCTTTCCATGGAAAGCCAGGGTATGGTTAAAAATCAAACCAAACCAAACGAAACAAAAAAACCCAACAAACGCTGCTCTTCCACCATGACAGTGACTGAGAGGGCTGTTTGTTCACACCGTTTAACTTTGAGCATCTCAGCAGGATATTCTGGATTGCCCTTTGCAAACATGCTTTGCCTGATGCAGTAATTGCCCCCTTTCTCTCTGTTTTGGCATTGTTTTAGTCAAAGAGTTACTGTATTTCTCTGAGCAAGGCAGCTGAAATGCAGTGGTAGACATGTAAGTCTTTATACCTGGGGCTCTAGTTCTGAAGGAAATATGCCTATATAGTTGTCATGGGAGCCTTGCTGGGTTTGTGCTGGGATGGAGCTGGCTTAACCCAGTTTGATGCCTTTTGCTCAAGCTCTTCCAGTATTTGATCCCAGAGCAGGTACCCAAGAGTCTTTTTGCTTTAGCTGAGCCTTCCTGGGCTGGTCTGAACCCTTCATCTTCCCTAACAGCCATCTGAGCAGACACCTCTGCACAGAGTCTACTGAGAATGAGACTTATAGTTTGCACAGCCCATTAGTGAAGTTTATAAAGCACTTTTGAGATGCTTCTGGGTGAAGAGCTTTTCTGAAAATCACTTCAGTAGTTTATTTGTAGAGCTGATCCACCACATCTCCAACAAATGTTGGGAGCCTGTGATTTCCAAGTGTGATATTTCTACCCGGGAGGACCACTTATCCTCAGTCCTCACCTCTCTGGGAACTGTCTCAGCCCCTCCACTCAGCCCAGAAGAAAATTTGCTGTTTCATGACTTGGCACAACGTTCACGTGAGGGAGAGCCGAGGGGAAGGGCACCAAGCGGCTTTGGGACATAAAACCAAGCTGGAATTCATCCAGGCTCTTCTCAAAGGGGTTTTGTGAGGAAAACCGGAGCATTGCTTGGCTTTTAAAGCCCTGAGGCAAGCTTTGGTCAGAGGAAAATGGGTTTAGCTGCCTCACCCTGCTCCCTGCCTGCGTATGTTGTTAGGCCAGCCTGTGCCTCGGTGGGATGGATGGTCTCCATTTGGCAGGATTGGATTGCAGGGCAGGATTGCAGGCTAGGATGAAGGCAGCCCGTGGAGCTGTGCACATGGTCAGGAGAGGGTTGCAGATCACCAGGGCAGCCGTGGGCTGTTGGGGGCTTTCTCCTGCCCATCTATCCTGGTCTGATGTCATTCCAAGTGCTACTACAAACTGCAGAGTTACAGCTGGCTCATAATTGGGCATGCCGAGGAGGGACGTTCTGGCACGGAGAATTGTGGGGCTGGGCCAAACCAACCCCTGTCTCTGACACTTCTCCCTCACCTTTCAAAGCATGCTTTTTCCTTGCAACGTTTCCAAGGGAAGAGGCATCTAATGGTTTTGTGCTTGTTTTGCATGTACCCATGCAGAGGCCGGGGCGAAGGCAGGAATGCCTGACACAGCAGAGCCGGCGAGCTGCCTCTCCACAGCAGCTGCAGCAGTGATGGCGTGGGTGTCTCGCAGAGAAATGCGGCTATTAAAATGCCTGCCATCCATCCCTGGTCGTGGGTGGCACCCCGCAACTGCTGCTCCACCCATACAGCCTCCCAGAGGCTGCTCCTTCCTATGCCAGCCCCAGACCAGCTCTGCAAACAGAGCTCTTTGGTGGGGCGTTAGAAACCCTCGCTGTGAGCATGGGAAATCTGTTCTTATGAAAAGCTTTTTTGTTACTGGTCAAAAATCTGAGCACTAACTTGCAATGACTTTTACTTAAGGAAATCATACATTGAGAATTTACCTGTGGAAATACCACTTTTGAACCTTGCTGCTGTCTTTTCCTGATATTCTTGTTAGCTTTGGGCCTATAGAACCCAAAGGGGGTTTTTCTTTGGACCAGGAAAAAGTTTTCCGAGGAGCTGGAATTTGGGATGAGCTCAGGTGTCCATCTCAGCACAGGGCTGGAATGGATGGGGCGTTGCAGGAGTGTAGCCTGTCCGCCCTTGTTAGACAACTGAGTCACCCATCGTTGCATTTTAAATAGGTGTCTTGGAAAGGGAAGAGTGGGAGGTAGGATGGCACCATCCCTTGCACCCGTCCTGCTTTCAGGACCGATCGGAAGTTGCTTCCTACCAAGACTGATGAGTTTGGCACTTGCTCGTTGCTTGTGGCTGGGGCTTTGCACTGAAGCAAAGGTAGCAGAAATTATTTCATTAGTTTCCCTTTGATATTCTTTTTCCTTCTCTTCATCTTCAAAGGCAGGAAGAGAAAATTCAGCCACACATGCACGTGCTGTTCAGCTGAATGTGTGAGCTGGTGGGAGGGCAGCCCCGAGCCCGGGGAAACTTACATCTTCACACAAACCCTCCTTGTCAACCCTGGTCCTTCCTCAAGAATGGAGGTCTTGTTTCTGCACAGACCCCCCCTTCCCTCTCTTGGGGGAGGGAGGCAGGAAGCCCAGCAGAGCCTCCCTGATTAACGGGCCCCTCTGTCATGATTCTACTTGCACGTCACAACCCTAGGAGGAGAGTTTGCAGCCAGGCAGGGCTTGGTGCACTGAACCCCCCAGCTCTGCTCGGGCTGTGCTGGTTCAAAGGCAGCCGCTGGCAATGATGACCTAATCGTTAAATCAGGCCCCACGATTGCCCCATGGGCGTTGTGGCTGATCTGGGCCAGCACCATCATCTGAGAGCAGCAACAGGATGTGAGCTGGAAAGGAGTCGCCCGTCTTGGAGAGCCGCCAGCACCCAACCCTGAAACCTGCGGGAGGAGAGGAGGGCCAGGGTGGGAGGGGAGGATGGATTCCTGGCTGGGACAGGTCATGCCAGGTATAGGCAAAGGGGGGAAAAAAGCTGGAGAGGGAGAAAAAAGGGCAAGGAAGGCACAGAAGGTAGAATAGCCATGACGAAGAAGGGGAGCATGTTTGTTGGCAGAGCTGTGCAAAGCAATGCAGGAATTTTTCTGCTGATGTGGTGACTTGTCCCAGTTAAAGGTCTTGCTTTAAATGAGATCCATCACATGTGCAGCTTTGCAACAGAGCTAGGGACATGCTGCAGAGCTGAGATTTACAATGTCCCAAAGCCTGAGGGTGTCTGACATGAGGGATCTAATTTAAACCCATTAAATAGAAATTATCTTTCTCAGCAACATGTTGGAGAAGTGCAGAGGGAGAGCCCAGCCTTTTAAGAGGATGGATTTCTGCTCCAGAAAAAAAAAAAAAAAGGAAAGGGGAAAAAAGTGCCTCCTCAATCGTAAGAGCCAGTTTGGCAATTGTACGTAGTAATTAGTTTAATTCAAATACCTGGAGGGGAAAAAATAATTGCAAAACCTGCCCAGAGAGTTCAGTGGTTGTGGGATGGTTCCCATTGGCAAAGGGTCAAGGCAAGGTCCCACCCATCGCCTTTGTGTTCCCATGCGCGGGAGGAGCGCTCAGCAGCGCTTCCCGGGAGATTTCCCTCTCCACATGGCTACGCCCTCAGCTTGGGCTCATTGCACAAGTATTTTAAGCATGCTGATAAAAGCCCAGCAGTCTCTGGCCGGCATTACAAGAACACCTGGCTGCCTGTTCTCTCTGAGAGCCGGGGATCATTTCCCCGTGGCTGCCCATGTTAAATATCACACTCAGCTCCACATCTTCTGGTATATGGGACAGCATCCTCCTCATCCTTCTCAGATGATGCTGTCCTTGTGTGGTGGCACCACCTCAATGGATGTTGATGGAAAATTGATGCCAGCAGCCCAAATAGTCATACTGATAGTAAAAAAATCATTGCAAAAATAATTTCAGAACCGGGCACAGATTTCTTATATACGCTGCCAGCTTGCCATTCCTCTCGGTGTTTGGGGCTAATGATTTTCTGGCTGGTCTTGTATTTTCTGCTCCCCTGAACATGACAACTGTCGTGCACAAAGACCACATGACAGAAGAGCATAACCGGCTGTGTTGGGGGCCAGCTTTGTGTTCTGGGTGATGTCCTGGCTGTCCGTCTGTACGTGAAAAAACCCTGCCTTTACCAAACTGGAGGTGCTTCCCCATGCTCTGGGTTCCTGTACATGATGCAAATGTGAGGGCTGCTGGAGGGGGAACCGGCCCAGCCGGGAGAAGGGCTTGCATATCCATCCAAATGGAAATATCTGTTCTTTTTGCAAAGGGAGGTGGGGGAATATCTCAAGGGTGTTCAGACTTTATCTATGGTTTTATTTATTTATTCTTAAAGATCTAGTTAGGTTTAACCCTTTTGCTCCTGCTAAGCCCTCAAGAGCTGTTTCTCTGTTCCACACTAGAGAATAAATCGCAGTAGTAGCTTGAGCAGAACAAGGCCCACTCAGGTATTTATGAGATTGAAAGAACCTGTGTGATTTGTTTGGAAGTCTCAAACACGACCCTAGAAAGTACCTTTCCATCCCTAATCCCCTGCAGTAGCTGCCAACCCTGCCAGGTGCGATGTTCAGCAGCATCTTCTGAGGCCAAAGGCATCCTTGGACCCTGGTGACAGCAGTGGTGAGCACCGACTTGCCTTTTGGGCAGTGCTACAATCACACAGGCTGCTCAGTAACGAGCTGAGCTGGCTCGTGGTGGAAACTAGTCCCCGTGCCTCCAGGAGTCCTTAACCTTAGCAAACCCTAATTGGACCGCTATAAATTAATGCAAGAAGTTATTTGAAGTGATTTGCCACTACTGCAGGGGAACGCCATTAGGGATGCAGGGGATCCTGCATGCTCTGCTCTGCTTTTCTATCCCAAGACTTGCTCTCACCCTGTGTGTCTCTGCTGTCTCTCCTAGGTGCCATGCTTGGGATTTGTGCCTCAGTGCAGCCCTTGACACGGACAGTGGGCCCAACCATTGGTGGAGTTTTATATAAACAGTTTGGAGTCTCCTCCTTCGGCTATTTACAGCTAGTGGTCAATATAGGTTTGTTTGTTTACCTCTTAAAGAGTAAAATCCCACTGAGAGAGGTGAAAGGCCAATAACTCATGTGCAAGAAAGTAACTGCCTTACTTTTCCATAAAGATGGTTTTGGGGGTTTATTTTTGATTCTGTAAACCTAGAATAAAACAATTTGAACAATCCTTGCATTTTGTCAACATTTGCATCTAGAGTAAGGAGCAGATCAGTTTGCAAAGCTGTTTGAATCGTGCTGGAGCAGCTGGGGCCTGTGGGACCCCAGGAGCTATCGGGTTCCCCCCAACCCCCTGCAGCAGTGGCTGTCATTGTAGGCAATAGCCCCTGATCCTCACCTGTTGTCAGGCAGCATTCCTGCTTGAATTCACTGAAACTGAGGGGATTAGAAGCAAGTGCCTTTGCTCTGGCTGGCTTCTTATTTCACCCAATGCAAAATGGTACCAAGGAAAATGGTGAGGAGTAAAATTTGGGTATTATTTTGGTGTATTAAATGTACCTCCCAGCATTGTTATGCTAGAGGGGAACGAGGCCAAAGGCTTTCAAACGCTGTGGCCAGAGGTTTGCTACATCCACAGCTCAGTCATCTGTAACCCTGACTCTGCATGAGCCTGATGGGTGGTAGCAGAGCCAGCAAGGAGGATGCAAAGCCTGTAAGTACCACACTGCAGTGCCAGAGCGTCCCTGCTGCTTCCAGAAACTGGGCCAAACCTCCTTCCAGGTTTCTTCCCCCCTGTACTGAGTCTCTCTTGCTCTTACTATGGGCTTATGTAATTACATATTTTGCAACTTCCTCTAGTACAAAGTCTCCTGCAAGAATTGCACTGATATTGGGAAGGGGAAAATACCTGCTTGAAATTACCAAATTTGGAGCAAGTACTTTGCCTGCTAAGCTCACAGTCCTGACCGCCAGAGTTGAATCGTGTGCTCTCGAGGAAGCCCAGGTTAGTTAGTGATAATTGAGCCCCACAAAATAAAACTTCAGTACTTTTATCCAAAAAAATACCTTCTTTTTTCTCCAAGCTTCTTGGTGCGGGTGCTAGAGGAAAAGAGCCTGTCTCCGTTCTTCAGAGTTATCCTGGAGAAATTTAAATCTATCTAGAAACTGCAGAGGTGAGGAGAGGCGAGCAAGTTCAGCTTGCTTTGCTGCAAAGCTGAGGAATCCCACGGAGCATTGGTGCTCTTATTCCGAAATCAAGAATCCAGTTTGCTGCCTTAGCACGGCACTAAGCTACGGGGGCTGGGGGGAGGACACGGGGCGTTCGCAAAGAGCAGCGCTTTACTGTTGCAGGGAGCTGTTGTGCCTTCTGTAGCCTCCATTACTTGATTATATGGGAAAGCACTTCACAAGGAGCACTAATCCAAGCTGTGGTAGGCTTTTCTACCTCCACCACTGACCAATATTGAACCTCAACACCCTCTCCCTCACTGGTCAGGAGACGAGGTCAAACATGAACAGGTTATCTGGGCTTCCTCCACCTCCCCCTGCCCAGTCCAGGGCACCAAAAAGCTGAGCTTTACTCACTCTTTTTAAGCCACTTCACCACTGCCGTATCCACAAACGTGCCTCAACAAAAGTTACTGCAGCCCAGAGTACAGTAATAAAAAGTGAACATTTCAAGTAATTTATTTGGAATGGACACATTAATGCAAAAGCAATATTAAGACCAGTAACTGCTGAAAGACATTCAACAAAATAAATACAAATATAGATACTACAAATAATTTAAACTGTGTTTAACACCACCAGTCAGTGTTGAATCTTCCTTGCGCCTCATAAATAGAAGATAATAGTTCACAAAGCTGTGCCACTCAAAACACGTGGACGCTTTGCTAGAAGTCCTGTAAGAAAGTCTTTGGTTTTTCTTTAATGCATCTCAGGCAAAGCTCAGCGGTCTTTGCTCAGCAGCCGCAACGGGCTTGGAGAAAACCAAGCTGCTTCCAGCTCTCTTCTTTGCTTTCCTTCATTGGTACCCTGTCCCATTTCAGTCCAAGACACTCGATCTGGTTTATCACTCAGTGGTATGCTCTGAAGACAACAAGAGAAAGTGGGTTAGTTAAACGAACGGGACAGCACAGCACAGGAAAAAATGGGGGCTTTCAAAGGAGACTAAGCTCTGAGCATTTATTTTCACAGATATGACATTTTTAGTAAGTTCTGTGAGGACAGCGCTGCCAAGAGCCATTTCTTATTCCACTCCACCACTTCCACGCCGTACCCTCAACACACTGCGTAAGTCCGGCTCCCACCAGAAATTCTCAGCGGGTGCATCGGAAAAGGGGAACCCCCCACCCTGAGATGCACCGGGAAGGGGGAAGCGCGGCCCCAAAGCGCTGCGCTGCTGCGGCCGGGCAGCACGGCCGGTTTCGGGGAGCGGCCGGGGAGCCCCGCGGGCCGGCGGCCCCTTCGGCCAAAAAGGGATTGAGCGGCGCGTGGGGAGCCCCACGCCGGTACGATTTCCCGAAGCAGGCGCAGGGCAATAAAATAAATTTAAAAAAAAAAAAATTAAAACCCCATGAACCGCGGGAGGAGCGCGGAGGGGGCCGGGCGGGCTCACCTGGGGCCGGGCCGGCCGGGCGGGTGGCGGCGGCTCAGGGCGCCCGGGCCAGCCGCCGCTCCTGGGTGCCCGCCGCCTGCTCCATCTCCTGGCGGCTCTTGAAGTCCTGGATGGCCCGCTTGTTCTGGAAGTCGATGAGGGCCATGGTGATGGAGGCGTTCCAGCAGCTCTGGTCCGGGCACCGAAAGTCAATCTCCTTGCGGTCCTTGGTGACGATGGTGAAGTAGATGTACTTGCCCGTGCGCTCCACGCAGTCCACCTTGAGGATGGAGCCGAAGCCCAGCTCCTTGCCCTTGGCCCGTTTGTGCCCGTCGGGGAAGAGACTGAGGCTGTCCTTGGTCAGCACCACCAGCTTCTTTTTCCACAGCTGGAAAAGGCTGTCGCTCCGCTTCTCCAGCTCGCCCTCGCGGATCACCTCGGCTTGCATCTTCATCCTCGTTCCCCGGCGGCGGCTCCGCTGCGGCTGCGGCTCCAGCTGTTACCCCGACTCCTGTTCGGGCGGTGATGACCGAGCCCTGCCGCGATGGGAACAATTTATTGCAATGAATCAGCGCCGGGCGCCTTCCGGTGCCTCCCCGGGAGCCCGGCCCGCCGCCCCCTCGCCGCCCCGCCTCCCGCCCGCCCCCCCGGGCCGCGCTGCCCGCCCGTCGGAGCGGGGCTGGGGGGAGCGGGGAGCTGCGGGGAGCAAAGGGCAGGGTACTGGAGGCTGCCCCGGGTGGGCTGGGTGTGGGGAGCGGGGTACCTCCCCGAGGGGCCCCATCTCTGCTGCCGCTGTGGGCAGGGGCAAAGCGGTCACTGCAGGAGGGACCCCAATTCTGCCTGCCGCTCTCCTCGTCCCCCGTTTCCTCTGCCCAGCAGGCAGAGCCCCCCTACTCCCCCCTCTCCCACGGTGAGGATGGAGCCACTGCAACTTTAGGCACCCCCAGCTTGCCCTCTAAGCACTCTCTTCTCAGATCCACACTTGGGTGCATGATGCTCCCAAAACTGTGCTCCTGTGGTCCTCGACTTGGGCAACTTCACCACATTGGGTCTGCCCTGGCATGATCTCCACTTGGAGCAGAGGGGTCCAAGCAGGGCCTGTGGTGGGCCGCTGCCATCTCCCATGGATATCTGGTTTGAGTCCAGCCCAGGTGACCCCAAGAGGCTCAGCCAGGATCTGGCCAAGCCCACTGGCTTTGTTTGAGGCCCCACATCCAGCTGGCTCTGCACCATCACCATCAGCCCTTGCTTCATCTTTTCCTCAGGGCAACCCACCTCTCCAGTTTTGTATTAACACTGCTCCCCCCAGTTTTACTCCCTGCAATCACTTGATTTATCTCATTTTCTTCCCCCCAGCCCACTCCCTTTTCCCACAGTTAGGGAAGTAGTCTGGCCAGTGCCCTGTAAAGCCTCTGGCAGCTGGAGGTAGTATTTAAGAGGCACGTGTAAGCCTGCAGTTCCTTCCTCTTGGACACCATTCATTGTATCACTCTTTTACGACAGTTGACACAAGGCTGATGCAGCTTCCTAGCCACTGCCTTGATGCTGCAGCCAAGGGCAGGGCTTTGCTTAATGAACTTATTCACGCTGTTTCCAAAGCAGTTATTTGCTCAACTACATACTTCATGCAGCATCACCCTTTGGACTTTGAGCCCTGTTCTCCTCTATCATCTTCCTTGAAGGACCGACACCTCAACAGGTGCAAGCCAATCCCCAGAGGTGAGCTTTCAAAGTGAGACTTGGCCCCTTTGAAGAGTTTGGCAGCATTCCCGGGGACTTTGGCAGGGTCAGAAGCCCATTCCCAGGAACAAATCAGAGGTAGAGCCAAACCTATTTCCGCTGAAAATCCGCTGGAGTACACGGCCACCCTTTGATAATTCACTGCAGTGTGCACATCTGTGGGGAGGGTCAGAACAAAGGTGGGCGCTGTGCAATGCTCCCAGGGCTGATGAATGAGCCAGGAATGCTTTGGCTGAGCTTCTCAGGGAGGGGTGGGCTGGGGACCGCTGTAGGAAGACCACGCTGGCCATCACTGCTTGTGGGGTGGGGAGTGGCTGCAGACCATACATGTAGCTGTGGCCCTGGCATGTGAAGAGCTGCAGACTTTTCCCTGATACTGTATCTCAGTTTTCATAATGATTTATTTCTCTTCACTAAGGCAAACAGCCCCAATTAACTTACAATTAGGCTGCACATCTACGCTTTCAGGACATATGCTGGTCTGCTCTGTAAAACAAGGTCTTGAACAAAAGGCCCCACAAGAATAAGGGGCCTTGAACCAACAAAGAGCAGAGTTGGATGTAAGCAGAAATCATTAGAGTATTTTTAAACTGACCCCAAAATGAAACAGGGAATGGTCTTTGTGCACAGGAAATGAGACACCACTTCAAAAAGAGCAAAAAAACGAGTCAGCAAGTCAGGAGCACAAGCAACATCTGGTGGAAGACTCCCGGTGAGGAAAGGCTGCAGGATTTGGCATGTTTGTGCACACCTTGCTTCAAAAGTTCTGGTAAAAAAAAAATGAATTTGCTTTTAAGTGAAGCTAGTATCTATTGGATGCAGGGTCAGCAGCCTGCTTTGGTCTCTGGCTTTCTGCTTTTGCTTTCATCTGAGTGATTTTTCTTGTACATTTA